TGTTTTTCATTGGATTTGCTACGGTAATTCATATGGTAAAGACCTTGGTTGGATGTTTCACAGCGTTCTGGTTTTAGATGTGGTGCGGCCATTATACGCAAAATGGACTTATAACCCAGATTCTCACCGACGTTCATACTCCAAATCGATATAGGTGAGCATGGTAGATTGTTCAGCTATTCCGACCTATCAGGCAAGTATCCCAGGACGAAGTAGCCTTTTGTCAAACGATGCGCCCTAAACAATGCCCTTCGAACTAGCGAGTCTGCCTCAAAAAATTTGCACAACCATTCCTCAACGAAGATGGAGGATGAGATTGTTATAATTGTTTATTACGCAGGTAATCCTGCGCGGTGTCATTAAGAAGGAAAAACACAACAACACAAAAACCAAATAAACAGCAAAAACAGCGCTTCTAGAACCTGATGCTTAGAAACCTGCTGAGATAGGTTGCGTCGAATATATCAGTCGCAACAGCACTCGATTGGCGATGTCATCAGATTCACATCCTTTGACCGACCCCCGCCCGTAAAATTGCGCTTCTTAGGTCTTTTCCTCAAGCACTTGCCACTTTTTTCCTGTTCTTCTCCACCGATGACTTTCTTGGGCTGACATCGCTATACGAGCATCGCTACCATAATGTATGGTCGCGGGCTTCGATTTTAAAACGAGCACTATTGAAGTTGCAACGTTGTAGGCTCCGATGAGAAGCAAAAAAAAACTGCAGACACGAAAAATGTTACGGGAAAATCTTCACAACTACACACAAGTCTTCTCTGCAATATGAAAAGTAGAGGGAAAGAACCAGTGCCATCCTAGCTGACACGAACAGTACCCACCTCGAGTGTTCAAAAAAACGAACAATTTCAATATGTGAAGTCCCAAATACTCAGTAGATTACGGTTTCCGTATAACTCTTTAGGATATGCCGGGTATTCAAAAAATTCATAGCATGTGAGGTTACTACATGGATAAGCGAGGGTCAGACAATGCTTATGATCTTCTTCTCCTCCTTCTTAAGCATTTGTCCCGTTCTGTGGCGGGCGCCGCCGCTTGCAACGTCCTTCAGACCGCTTTCCGAGCGCCTCGAGCTAACGTCGGTCTTACCGACGGTATAGACATTCGCGCGTAGTACACCATACCATCGGATGCAAGCTTCGCGCGTTTTGTCGGCTACAGGAGCTACAGCGGATCTCGTCCATGTCTTCATTGCGAACGCGATCCATACGCGCGACACCGGCAACATTTTCATCTCCATCACTCCGAGGCGAGCCTCAACTTCTTTGGTCGTAGGCCAGCATTTAGCACCGTATACTGTCATATGTCGGAAGACGGCTCTATCGAGTCCAACTTTTTTGAGGCATTTGGTATCGTCGTGTCTCAGGGAACGCCACTCATACAGCGCCCTTACTTAGACCTGTACAAAGAGTGCGATGGAACAAATTTTTACACCATCGAATGTTCAGCGGTGAATTTTGGATTGCAGCTGATTTTGTTTTTGCTTCGGTATCAAAAAGGCAAGTGAATCGAATTTTACTATGCATCAATATTTCACTGGAACGGATTATGTGCAGCACCATGCACACATGAGCACAGTGTGAGTAGAACAACTACCAGCTTTTCAATCAGTTCTTACCTACGGAAGAAACACACTCATCTTTGAATGTTTCAAATTCCAACGACTACCCTTTGGTTGTAACGACCGCGGCACTAAGGAGTCAGTCACGTACTTCATGAGAAGGAAGTTCCGGAACGCGTGACCCACATGGTGTTCCATGCATTTGTCTTGATGCTTTGTTATGCTTGACAATTTTGGTTTCTCTTCCATATCCTAGTGGTGTATTCCGCCTTTAGCTAGTTTCTTCAACCCTTCGCAGAAATCAATTGTCTATTAGGTTGTCCGGAAAGTTCTCAGCGTTTTGTGCACCTATTTTTTGTACATTCACTGCTGATTAAAAACTCATTCTGCCTTGCTTCTCAGTAGCACATCCTGTAGAGAATTTCTTGCGCTATCTGATGGTATAATTGCCGTTTCACCATTGCTTGATAAACCCCCTTTTTTCAAGATTTTTTCAAGCATGTGAAAAGAGCACTTCGGACGATTTTTTTCTTCGACTATAAATTGGGGCAATCCGCAATCGAAACAGCTCAACAAATTAACCAGGTGTGGGGGCCCAATAGTGCTAGAGAAAGCACTGTGCGGCAATGGCTCAACAAATTTCGTTCTGGAGATTTCAGCCTTGAAGATGAACCTCATAGCGGTCGACCTAAAGCAATATCTGACGAGGATTTTAGGGGGATTTTGGAGGCTGACCCATCCCAAACAGTTCGAGAGATAGCAGAAGAGCTAGGCCTTGGCAAATCCACTGTTGCAGATGGTCTGGAACGCATTGGGAAGGTGAAAAAACTCGACAATTGGGTGCCCCACAATCGGAGTGACCGGCAGGAATCGGCACGTCTCGAGGTTCCTTCTGCATTGCTTTTGCGCAGCAGAAACGACCTGTTTTTGGGCCGAATTGTCACCTGTGATGAAAAATGGGTCATGTATGATAACAGACGTTCCGGACAGTGGTTGGATTTCGACGAACCACCGAGGTAATTTTCAAAGCCGAACCCTCACGAAAAAAAGATTCTGGTCACGGCTTGGTGGTCATCGGCTGGTGTGATCCACTATAACTTTTTATCACCAGGCCAAACCATCACAGCAGAACCCTACTGTGAAGAAATCGACGAATTGTACCGAAAATTTTGTCAGATGCAGCCAACACTTATCAAAAGAAAGGGTCCGATTCTTTGCATGACAACGCCCGCCCACACGTTTCACAAATCACTATCCATAAATTGAACGAATTGGGGGTTGAAGTTCTACCTCAACCGCCATATTCTCCAGACCTTTCACCAACCGACTATCACCTTTTCAAACATTTTCAGAACTTCCTTGCTGGAAAATACTTCATCAATCAGGACCAGGCAAAAAAGACCCTTCGTGGATTCTCGACCACCCAGTTTTTTCTTTGATGGGATTTCTCGACTGCTGTCACATTGGCAAAAGTGTGCTGATTCGAATGGTGCCTATTTCGATTAAATCCGATGAGTATTAAAAAAGTTACGATCGTTTAAAGTGAAACACCCAAAACGCTGAGAACTTTCCGGACAACCTAATATAAGTTTATAGCTTATCTAGCTTATTTATTTGATATGTACTATGTGAGTGGACCAAAAAACCAATAGTCAACACATAAAAAGCCAAAATGATGCAGGCCAGGCTAATAGGGACAGAGAATCAATAACGAAAGTTAGTTGTTATAGTCTTACAAGTAGGAAGTTTATCGATCCCCTGTGCGCTTGCTGCATTTCCCTTTTACACCTCAATAAGCCATCATCGTTTACCCTTTGAGGCGAAATGCCATCCTAGTAATGAAGAGAAGTCATTTCAGCATGTCTGTGCCGGATGTGGTTGATGTCGACTGGCTGGCCAAAAATAAGGTACGTCTGGTGCTTTATATTTTACTTTCCCTTTTTGAGAATCTATAGAAATGTGAGGGAAGGCCAAAAAAAGACTGGCCACATTTATTTTTTGAAGTCTTTGTCGCCTAGCTTCACCAAAGTTCAGATACTTGTAAACCGGAACCAGAAGAAACCAAGGAAGTGCTAAATGCACACCCTCCCCCCCACCTCTCCGTGTAGCCGAGGCATATACTTCAAATCGCAACTTCAAGCTTGTTGATGAGAAGCGGCTCACGGCGCTAAAATGAATTGTCTTGTCCAAACACCACACAAAATTTGGCATTTTTTTCACTAAAATGCCTAGGAGAGAGCACGGGAGTTGTCCTCCAACATCTCTACGCATCTCTTGTGAGGTTCGTGGGCATAGTTGAAACGTGCGAATTACGTTGAGGGCGGTGAAAAATACTGTACGTGAGCGGTAAACGCACAGGGACCAGACCATCAGTCCAATCTGTCCGTTGCATCATTTTACGAGAAGTCCGTCGTGATGGTGATTTTGCCGTCACCCCAGATCCGATGCCAAAACCAGATCCAGAGGAATTCAAGAAAAAACACTACGCACATTTCGAAGAGATGATGGCTAAAAAAGTTTGTTGGACTTTTTATAGCGAATTTTACAGAAGAAATCATCGAGTAGGCGATCAGTGTCGCTACACAGGCGTACCCTGTGCAAATCGAGTTACTTAGGTATCATACTCAGATGGCATAATTTAGCCAAAATCCTATTTGGAAGAGCATATTCCTGGTGCTGTCCTATATGACATCAACGTTGCGCACTTTCCGAGCAAGTGAGTTGTTAACTACTTATTATAAAATCGCTAAGTGTTTAGATACATCGTCCGCGCAATATGAACAACGTGCAGCGAGTGCTTCCTTGAACCAGGTGATGCGTGCGGGCCGCAAATCGCAGAGATGTTTCCCGCTCAGAAACTGCTGATATCAGCAGGAGGGCTTTGTCACGCGTTTAACGTTCCCCAGGCCATTGGTTTATGCATGCTCCGCCCTACCAAACCATTCCATCATCGCCATATTGTATAACGGTGGGGTCCCTATCACTTGTGTAGTCTCTCGCCACACCTTTGTTTATTTCCCTTCTTTACGCTTTAGTTTTCTCCCAGCCATATTTTCAGTAGCAGTTCAAACTAATAGGTATCTTAAAGGAAGAACCCGCGATTACTCGCCATCTCAGATGGTGGATTAGGGGGTTCCATATAGACGACAAGGGGTTGAGTAACTCGACTGTAAACAAAAAAAGCACAAAAAACATGCCACCTGCCCAGATAGAACCCCATTTCGATCCCAGTTTTGTACGTGCCCAATCAACTAATAGTTCTCCGAAGCGATGCCCTCATATGCACAGCTGATTCACCGTTAATATCTCTACGATCATACAAGTGGCGATTATCGTGCTTTTTCGTCCTGCGAACTCACTTTTCACTAGAAGCCGGTCATTAGGGGCGGAGCCTAGAGGCGGAGTCACTGGAAAAAAGGAGGAGCCACCGAACCTATATTGCTCTATAGCGGCCCCTCCCATAGAATTTTTTGTCGCGAAACCGGTACAAGGTTGTTCGTCGCGGACCACTCTAACCTCCTGACGCCATATTTTAACTTCGATACCTGATCGCGCGGCCGTGCCGTTTAATAATTAGAGCAGTTTCGATGAGATTCTGTTGCTTTCGTCTTCCACTACTGATCCATTGTACCAACTGGTCTAACGATTCTGAGCCCTACATCCTGCGAAACGCCGTTTCAGGCGCTGTTTCCAAGAGCCCATACCTAGATAGCGTGTACAGAAGAACACTTATTCTACCATGAACTACAATGTATTTTCCTCCAATCGTCTTCAGCAACCAAACTTTTTGAAACTTTTCAGCGTACATTATTTTTTGACCTCTATCCACCAGAAGAATTTGAGAAGTATATCCGACTGCTTGGTGTGAATAATAATGATCATGTAGTAGTGTATGGGAGAGGTAGCTTTGCCGGTATGATGTGGCCAGCCAGAGCGTGGTGGACATTCAAGGCAAGTACATAAGATATTGTGAAGTAAAATGCCCGTATTTAATCGCCTGAGCTATGCTGTACTAATGTTACGTAGCAGTGCTGTTAAGAAGAGAGAGGCACTGATAGAATACCGTTGTCCCTGCCCGTCGTATAGGTGAGCCCGCCAAATATTCGTGCCTTGATTATTGTGGCATTGTTCGTTGGGGGAGGGGGGGGGGACAACGGTTGGGGGGGTAAGACGGTGAAAAGCAGGAGGCTACTATGAAGAAAAATGATAGGGCTGGCTCCTCCCGACCGACGGGCGTTGATTGTGTCTTCAAGAGCAAGTTTTCATTATTTTTATTTGAAGAGGTATACTTGACACTGTCGCGATCAGGCAAGGTGGTGTAAAGAGGGCTGGAATGAGCTCACCTCGTTAGCCCTCTTCTGTCACCATCCTGCTGGATTGCGAACATCTGGGAATGTGCTTTGGCAGTTGTACGGTCACGACAAGGTTTCTGTGCTTGACGGTGGTCTGGATGCATGGAAAAAAGCTGGCCAACCGGTAACCGGTGGTGACGTCGTCGTGGTGAAAGTGAGATTTCAAAGTATTACATCAATTGTTTCGAGACAATGCCACTGCATTGAACTGCTATCAGGACCCACCGCTGCTAGTATAGCTCCGGGAAGGGTGAGAGCCCTATTTGACCTTCTCTAGCTGCTGAGTACTAACGGCGGAAGTTCTTCTGTCAGATTAGAAGGAAGAAGATATCCAAATGATTCGCCGCTTTTTCGGGCAAACCACTTTCCCCTTCAACCCTAGCGACTCAGGCAAGGGCATCAATCTTGGAGCAATAACTAAGCGCTGTGAAGTTCGCACCTTCCGCTCCTACTAAAGCCAATTCCGATTGATCGCCTCCGTACAAGCGTCTCCACCGCTAGCGGTTCTGGGCTCTGATGGCCCAGGTTTCCGAAATCAGTCTAGACCAACCTAGGCTTTCGTCCGCGGGCGACGTCAACTTCGTATCAGGCCTCTTCTGTGAGGATGAGAACAGTCTTGCACATTTGGCTGGCCCGCGCAAGTCACTGTATAGGCCGCATCGCATTCGATAAACCACCACAATACTGAATGGAAGAAAAATGCGTGCCGCATACCAAAAAGGGATTGATTATTGCCGAAGACATAGTCCTTTCATTTCATGATGAATGATGCACTTTCTGATTCGAAATTTTTCTGGAGCTACGGGGAGACGCTGTACGGAACGATCATAGCGAACGCGTGCGTGCGGTAAGCTTGCCACTTGCCACTACACCACCTCCTCCATGCGGATAATACTGAAAACTTCTGTGTCCGAGATGATGTGCCCTGAAGACAGTGAGCCAAATAAAGATGAAGATGGACTGGTTTCGTATAGGCATAACTAATACGATTGTATTCAGCCAGGCAACTGGAAGGCCAAGCCAATCAATCCGGCTCTACTTATCACCTTTGAGGAGCTGAACAAGAAGAACGCCGATGGAAAGTCCCTGTTAGAAGAGCTCGATAAGGTAAGTTGCGCTGTTTTTTTGGTACCCAAGGGACTATTAGGTGCACCATGGATGCATAGTTTGTGAATCATGCTGATTATTCGTTCAAAAAATAGCCGGTGTGTCCTCTCTAAAGAAATGACACCTTGAAAACTTCAGTGGGACCTTGAACACAGGTCTGAGTTATTTGATAGTCTGAGTTACTGGTTATGAAAATACTGAAATTACTACCGAAATTGCCATCTGAACTTCCTAAGCGTTTTATGAGCGATCAAAGTTTCCTGGAGGTACAGTACTGGTCTATGAGCAGGTTAAAGGCTAGGGATGAAATCCTGGGCGTTTATAAATCCCCCTTCCTGGGATACGGCGCACTTTCTACTTTCACTCAGAGTCCTCGCGGGTTATTGAGAGCAATATACAATGGCTTACGCGGGCAGCCGATGTACAAGTCAGTGTTTACCCTCCCAGACGAATCTGGTACCAATTTACCGTCCCCGAAGGGTAGAAGGCTTGGTTGGCCTGGGCGGGAGCCGATCCGGGACTTGAACCTCATACCGTGCATATGATGAGCGTGTCCGTTGCCACTACAGCACCTTAACAACTTTGAGGAGAGTTTGTTCTCGAAATCGCACAGTCCTTTCCACAGCAGCAACAGTGAACTCGTCTGGAAAGGGCGTGTCCACAATCTCAGATATGAACGCGATAGCGGCTGCATACCTGTGAAATTGTCGGTTCATTTGTCCTGAGAACATGAAACTCTTTCCGTGCCACAACCCTCGCATAGAAACCCTGTCCATTCCACCCCACTACGTCTAAACGGTATTCTTTTCACAGACATGCAGCCATCGTCCTGCTCACAACCAAGTCCATAGACTCACTCTCAGCCCATCGCACCACCCTTTCAGGTGATGTGATATTGTCTGGAAACTGGAATTATTCTACTGGCTAACTGATACATTTTCCTATAATTACAATGATCTATCAGCGTTTCCAGGAATTATACGTTCAGAATCTCAATGTGTTAATAACACTTTATT